AGTTTGAATCCACCATCTTCTCCATGCAAAAAGACAGGCAGTCTCTTCCCATGTGATTTTTTGCCTCTTGAAAACCTAAAGGAGAGTCAGCTTTTAGTTATTTCAGATAAGGGACTTATATTTAGAATTTATAAAATACTTGAGCACCACAATAAGATAAAGGTAAATAATTCAATAGAAAAATGGGCACAGAATATGAACAGACACTTCATCAAAGAAGACATTCAGATGGCCAACAAGCACATGAAGAAATGTTCAAAATCCCTAGCTCTATGAGAGATACAATTCCAAACAACTATCAGATATCATCTCACCCCAGTAAGAATAGCAAAATTTAACAGGACAGCAAACAACAAATGCTGGTGAGGTTGTGGATAAACTGGAACCCTTATTCACTGTTGGTGGGAATGTAAAATGGTGCAACTGTTGTGGAAAGCAGTGTGGGGCTTTCTCAAATAGTTGCAGACAGAGATACCATTTGACCCAGCAATTCCATTACTGGAAATATACCCCAGAGACCATAACTGCCATCCAAGCAGATATATGCACACCCATGTTTATCGCAGCTTTGTTCACAATAGCAAGGAGTTGGAAGCAACCTAAGTGTCCATCAACAAACGAATGGATAGAAAAGCTACCTTATATTCACACAATGGAATACTATGCTGCATTGAAAAACAAGGAACTCATGCAATATTACTCAAAATGGGTGACCCTGGAGGACATTATGCTGAGTGAAATGTCTCAGTCACAAAGGAACAAGTACTTCATAGTGCCACTGTTGTAGAATGAGCCTGACATCAGGGTTGGGGTAAGACTGAGAAAAACTGGATAAATTATGTATACTGTATTGAAACAGATGAGGGAAAGAACAGATTAAAGGTGATATATGATTGGATATTATGGTTATCATAAGAGTCCAGAATGAAGGTTGCATAGTGAAGTGTACTTGGGGCAGGGGTTGGGGGGGGACAGGGGGACTGTATACCAATGAAGGAATTTTTCTTTTCAAAGACAGGAGCGAACTGGAGGGGAGGGGTGCACAGGGAGAAAAGTGCAACAATGAATGAATGGAAATAAAAAATATCTGTAAATGTTCATTAAAATTAATTTAAAAATTAAAATGGTAAAAAGAAAAGGACTACACACATAGTACTCTATCAAACAAAAAAGATACAACAAAATGAATAAGTTTGTTTGTTTAGACATTTTAAGAGTAAAGAAAAGAGAATTTGTCATAAGCAGTCTCTCTTTTCTCTCTCTCATTTATGTCAGAATTAACTCATAGTTGATCCTTCATCAGAGGTTATAAAGTCTCAGGAGGAAATGGCCCACCTTTCTCCTATGGAATCAATAGTGAAGTTGAACTACCAGAGGGGCTCAGCCTTTGGGTTAACAGCACAGCCTCCTATGATTTATGCCACTCTTAACTCCCTGTAAGCAGACAAATACTACAAAAATACTAAAGTTCTTCATACAGAAAGAAAATGATATAAAAGTTAGAGCTACAGGAAAGATTGAAGAGCCACAGAAATGAAAAATATATGTATGTATATATGTATGTGTATGTACACATACACACAGAGAAAACATTCTTTTCCTTTTTGTCTTAATTTCTTTCAAATACAGATTGTTTTTGTTGCATACTGTTACGCTGAAATTGACCCATAACTGACCCTCCAGCAGTTTTTCAGAGGCAGTTAATCACAGCAGAGGATACTGCCCATCCTTCTCCTGTGGAGCAGCTGGTGGATTTGAACCACATGCATTTGGGATTGTAGCACAACTTCTTGCTGTTAGGCCACCAGCGTTCCCTATAATAAACTATTAGTACATATTGAAGATCATACAAAAATGGCTGGAACAGCACACTGGCAGAGAAGTGCCAGAAGTTCAAGTGGAGTTTAGAAAAGGTTGTGGCACCAGGGATATCATTGCTGATGTCAAAGAGTTGAATGAAGAGAATGCTAGAAAAATGTCTATTTGTGTTTTTATTGACATTGCAAAGGCATTTGACTGTGTGGATCATAACAAATTATGGCTAACTTTGAGAAGAATGGAAATCCCAGAACACTTAATTATGCTCATACAAAATCTATATTAGACTAAGAAGCTATTGTCCAAACAGCAAGGAAATACAGCATGGAAATCAGGAAAGGTGTGCGTCAGGGCTGTGTCCTTTCTCCACACCTATCCAATCTGTATGCTGAACAAATCATTTGAGAAGCTAGACTCTGAAAAAGATTGTGTGATCAGGATCAGAAGATTCATCTGCATTGTACAGATGACAAGCCTTGCTTGCTCAAAGTGGGGATGACTTGAAATGCTTGCTACAGTGTATCAAAGCCTACAGTTTTCTATATGAATTGAATCTCAATATCAGGAAGACAAAGATCCTCATCACAGGACTTATAAACAACACTGGGATAGATGGAGAAAAGATTGAAGTTGTCAGTGATTTAATCTTACTTGGATCCACAATCAACACCCTTGGTGCCAGCAGTCAGGAGATCAGATGTGTTGCATTGGGAAATTCTGCTGTCGGGGACTTCTCCAAATTACTGAGGAGCAATGATGTCAGTTTGAAGACTAGAATGTGCCTCATTCAAGCCATGATTTTTTCTATCATTTGCTATGCTTTCTGAGAGCTAGATAGTAAACAAAGATGACAGAAGAATAATTGATGCCTTTGAGCTGTGTCATTGGAGGAAAGTATTAAATACGCCATGGACTGCTAAAAACCAACAGATATGGCTTGAATGAAAGGCAGCCAGAATGTTCATTGGAGGCAAAGACGACAAAGCTTCATTTCATACGCCTTAGTCGTGTTGCTAGGAGAGGCTATTCCTTGTTGAGAGACATCATGCTTGGAAAGGTAGAGGATCAGTGAAAGAGAGGAAGACCTTCGACAAGTAATTGTTTGATAATTTCCACACTCTGTTGGATCACCTTTTTTTGGATCGAGAATAAATATGGATCTCTTCCAGTCAGTTGGCCAGGTAGTTGTCCACTAGATTTCTTGACACAACCTGGTGAGCACGTCCAGCCCAGCATCTTTTTGTCAGAAGTAATTCTATCAATTCCTAGGGCTTTTTTTTTTTTTTTTGCCAAGTCCTTCAGAGCAGCCTGAACTTCCTCCATCATCATTGCCCCTTGATCATATGTTGTTTCTTGAAATTTTTCTGTATCAGCCAATTCTTTTGATATAGTGTCTCTCTATACTCCTTCCATCTTCTTTTAATACTTCCTGGGTCATCCAATATTCTGCTCACAGCATCCTTAAGTATTGCAACTCGAGGCTTAAATTTGTTCTTTAGTTCCTTCAGCTTAAGAAAAGCTGAGCAAGTTCAGGCCTTTAGATTTTTGGACAACAGTTCTTTGACATTTATTATAACATTTTGCTTTGTCTTCTCACGCTGCCCTTTGAAATCTTCTATTCAGCTCCTTTACCTCTTGATTTATTCCCTTTGCTTTAGCTTCTCGGCACTCTAGTAAAATATTCAGAGTTCATTTTGGTCTTCTTTCTTTGTAATGACCTTTTGAATTCTTTGTGGATGATCTGATATCCTCCCACAGCTCATCGGTTTTTGTTATTAATAATGTTCAAGGCCTCAGACCTGTTCCTGAGTTGGTTTTTAAATTCAGGTGGGACAGACTCGAGGTAAAATTTGATTCCTGTGGATTTGATTTGACCTTCTTTAGCTTTAATTTGAACTTGCATGTGCATTGTTGATAGTTTTTTCTGCAATCAGCACCTGACCTAGTTTTCACTGCTGATATTTTACCTTCTCCAGTGATTCCTTCCACAGACATAATTAATTTTGATTCCTCTACATACCATTGGGTGGAATCCATATGTGTACCTTGTTTTTTTGTTTCTTATAAAAAAGTATTTGCTATGAATAAACCATTGTGCATAATTCTATCATTCTATCCTCAGCCTCATAGAAATGTCAATAATTATTTACTGACTTTTAGTATTTAAGTATTATTGATAGTAAAATCTCTTGGTGATAGTTTTGGGTTGAAATTTCCAGTTGTAATTATGCATCATTGTTTATTTTTCTCCTTTCAATTTGGTCAATGTTTGTTTTACCAATCTTAAAACTCTCTTACTAGTACATACTTCTATCTTCTCTTAATGATTTGAACCTTACAGTATTCTGAAATGATCCTCTATATTGTTTTCAAAAACCTGATTTACTAGAGGATATTATATTATACTAATACTGAACTATAGCATAGCAAAGCATAGCATACTATACTATATTATAATGTACTATATTTGGCTCATACTTTGGACATGCTGCTAGGAGAGTCTATTCCTTGAAAAGGGATATAAGTTTTAGAATGATGGAGGGCCAGTGAAAGAGAGGAATTCTCCCAATGAGTTATACTGACAGCTGCAGTGGGCTAAAGTATATCAGAGGATGGCACAGGATAGGACAGGGTTCAGGTCTGTTGTTCATAGGGTCACTATGATTTATACTGGACTAAATGGAACTTAACAACAATAATAACAACAACAACTGCAACAACAATAACACAATTAGACTTAAAATTTGATGCTACATCTATCCTACCTACTGCCAACAAGAGAATTCTGACTCATGGTTATATTGTAAGATAAATAAGAACTGTCCATATGGTTTCCTAATCTGTAAATCTTTATGGAAGCAGACTGTCTTATCTTTCTTTTGTGGTGTAGCTGGTAGCTTTGACTTGCTGACTTTTTGGTTAGCAGTCTAATGCTTTTACCTACAGCACCACCCTTTTTCCTGATGGCATATCTATGGAGATGAACAATTTAAAAAGCCTTGAACTTGTAACGAGTGGACACCTTTTGTTCTATATTTCTCATTTGTTACATTGACTAAATTTTGTTTCTCATGTGCATATTTATTATATACCACAATATATTGACTAGATGTTTGTTACATTGAATACTTTCACTGATTTTTAAAGTTGACTTTGTTTTCTTTTTTTTTTTTTCATTCAAGGATGTTTCCTTAATGGGAAAAACGCAGTGGCCCAAAACATCTCAGACACAATTTGAATGTGGATTACAGATAAGTGTTGAGGAACAGCAAACGGTAAAGTCTTTAGTTAAAACCTTCCTTTCCTATATTACAAGGGAGTCTGCAGGTGGCACAAAAGGTTGAGTACTCAGCTACTGACTGTAAAGTTGGTGCCTTTGGCCTACTCTGAGGCGTTTTGAAAGAAAGGCCTGGCAAGTGCTTTAAAATTCGGTCATTGAAAGCCCTAGAGCACAGTTCTATTCGGAAACATATGAAATGGTCATGAGTCAGAACTGACTGGATAATAATGAGTTAGCTTGGGTTTTGATATTATAATAACAGTCTGACTCTTATTGCTTGAGTGCTTGTCTGGAGAGTATGTATGTATGTATGTATGTACGTATGTATTTATTTATTTTTAAAAGCTCTGGTTTACTTTAGAAGTATATTTACATCCAAGCCCATCTAACCCAGCATCTATTGAGAACCATGGCTTTTCTAACTTTAGTGGTACCTACTTTTGGCATTCTGAATCATTCAAGAAACTTTTCACCTTTAGGTCAACATTTTTTTTCAGGAGGGAAAGAATTAAAAAAAAACCACCCAAAAACTTCTTCTGGTCTAGATACATTCAGATGTAGACAGTAGTGGAAGAATTTTTAAACATTCTTAGTTTATATGAATCATTTTGTCCATTATTTAGCTAAAACAATTCTTAAAAGTCAAAGGAATCCTGAACATATTCTGTATGAGTGGGCAGTGCCTTCCTGTTTATAGAAATCCACATTGACATTAGGCAAAATATGACATGATCATAAATTCCTTTACAAAGAACTTGAAAAGAGGTATCACTAAACAAGCTCTTTAGTTCCTGAGGATACAATTCTACAGACATAATAAATTCAGATCACCCTTAATTTCAAGGGAAAACATATCATCTTAAAATATTTTCACAATAGCCTGGGATACTGTAATGTTATAATTAACCATATATGGTTAAACTACCAGATTTGAGATCTTTCTGTATTAAGAGATGCTGTTTAGCCCCAGCATCTTCCTAGATTGCAGCAATGGGTAAACGATGTAGCCTTAATGTGTATATATTCTAGCCTTATAACTAGTGCTGTGCATAGTTGCTTCGAGGCTGTATCATTTCATGTCACTCAGTCATTGCTATTGAGTTAGAATTGACTTATAGTTTACCCTCCACTGGGCTTTGAGAGGCTGTAAATTGCACAGGAAGAGATTGCCCATCTTTCTCCCATGGAGCCACTGGGGGATTTAAGCTACCTGCCTTTGAGTTAGCAGTGAAACTCCTTACCCACTAGACCACAAGGTAGATTAAAAAAAAAAAAAAGATACCGCCCTTTCCTTTCCTTTAAATAACTATAAAAGACATATTAAGGAATCTTGATGATTTAATGTATTATGTTTTGGGTCGCTAACTGAAATGTTAGTGGCTCAGTTCATGAGTTGTCATGAGTCAGAGTTAATTGAACATCAGTGAGTTTGGATTTTTTGTTCCATAGGCATACTAAGCTGAAAGGACAAGATTAAATACCTTTATATAGAGATCTTTGTTAATACAATAATCCCAACGTAGGACCATTAGCTACATATTCATGTAAATTATGAACTAGGCTATTATATACTTAGTTTAGATATCATCTTAACTGCTTAAAAGAAAAAGGTAAATAAAGTACCAATTTCTTCGTAATTTGGAAAAAACCATATTCTCAGTTTTGACATTTATAAGCAATCACCCATTGGCCAGTGGCTTTTTAATGAGGAAGCTTATTACTTTAGAGATGAAATGCTTCATGCACCTGGCCATGGTAGAAAAGGCTCCTGTGTGCAGCATCAGTCATTCCATGCAAACTTTTTGGGTGTCTCCTTCATTTTCAGGTAAAATAACTCTATTCTATCCATCCCTAAGCATGACCTAGAAATGACCCTTGCCAGTTCCTGGGCTGAGATCTGTCTGGGAATCCCTGCTCAGTGTACTCCCAGCCCAGAAGGACCAGTTATTTCTTTTTAAGTGGTGCCTAGCACGGTGTCTTCAGCGTATGCAGAGCTTCAGTGTGCATGTTTCAATCTACTAGCCAGAGCTCTCTGCATTCTTTACTGTGACTTGCAAATCACTTCCTTTTAAAAAAGGAGTATTCTTATTATTTTTGTCGTAGTTGTTAAAAATATATACAGTAAAACATACAGGAATTCAACTGTTTCTACAAGTCAGTGACAGTGATTATATTTTTAGTTGTACAGTCACTCTCACCCTCCTTTTCTGAGTGAACTTAGCTTCTTTCATTAACATAACTCTTTGTGTTCTAAAATTAAACTATGGAAGAAGGATGGGCAATCTCTCCCCTTGAGATTTTTTTGCCTCTGAAAACCCACTGGAGGGTCATCTATGAGTTGGTTCTGACTTGTTGGTACACAACAAGAGCAAAGGTAAAAGGTATATTCCTGTTAGAACATTTTTTAAAATTCCTCATTTTCAATATTAAAAAAAACCCTGTGATGAAGAGTGATTTTTCTCATGTATTCAGGAAAGACGTTGAAAAATGTTTTCTTCTATTATTTGACAGACATTACTTTAAACATAGTCCAAAAATAAAAATTCAATGAAACTTGTGAGAACTCAAACTCAAGAGGAAAGTCTTGTTTTTCTAGTTCTCTCAGTTTTGCACTTTTGATAGAGTGCAGTCTACACAGGTTTTTCAGGTTTTACTGTAATAAATTTTTGCCCTTGAGAAATTCAGAACTGACATATATCAAGAGACAAATTGAGATATTATGCAGTGAATATTCTAATAGATGCTACTTACTTAATAGAAGAATTTAAAATACTTTTATTTCATTTATTCACTCATTCAGAAATAATTACAATGGTTATATAATGTACTAAGAACTTCAGATGTAAAAGATATGTGAGATACATTAAATTTTACAACTTCACTAATTTTTATCTCTCTGAATCCTTGTATAATATAAAATATAGGTTAAGGACACATAGTGTTTTGTTTATGTAGTACTTTACTTATATTTACATATGAAACATTAAATCAGATTAATTATTTACTTAAAATTTTTTGAAAAACATACCATAAAAAATCTTTAATAAAAAGAACCGTATTTTCTCAAGCCAAAAATATTAGTGTTAAGAGTGGAATTGTCTTTCAGTATCTAGTTTAATAAAAATCTGGATTCTCATGACTTTTTAGGCAGTCCAACTTTTATAATAGGTTGTTTTAGCTGGTCTACTAAATAAATCTGACTTTTACTCAAATTTGGTAAAAGAACCATATTTTAGTATCATTTTACATGATTATTGATATTTTTCTTTATACAAGTATAAAAATTTCTTGTTTTGTTTAGCTTTTAAAATGGAGAATTTGAAATCAGATAAATGAACTATATGTATGTCAAAAGAGGAAGGGCCACGAGGGTATGGCTATATCTGACCATGACTAACATATCAAAGGGGAACTGTCCCCATCAACAACATCAAGAACCCAAAGCCAGTTCCTATGGGGTCATGCCCTTTATGCTTCTACACTTCTTTCTACTCGTCCCAAAATTAATCTTACTGCTTTTTTACTGGGTCTGAAATACATGTGAGAGCTCATAGACAACAAAGGATCATTTTATTGTTGCTATTGCTGTGTACCATTGAGTTGAAACTGACCCATAGCTGACCCTCCAGTGGGCTTTCAGAGGCAATTAATTGCACAGGGGGAGATTACCCATCCTCCCATGGAACAACTGGTGGCCTTGAACCATGTGCCTTTAGGATTTCAGCATCTTGCCATTAATCCCCCAGAGCTCTCTAGAATCATATTAGGGATGTCAAAGCCTATAAATCTTAATATAGTGAGAATATACTCATTCAGTGAGGACAGCTGCTGACATGTGCTCACAGACACCTTAGCTTTCAGCTTCATGGCTTTTGGCAAGTCCTGCCAATTATAGCTTTCTCCCGTTAGCCCTCCAGGAAACTTGGGCAAAATGCTCTTAGCTCTAGTTCCATGGTATTGCAGTCCCAAGGCCTTCTCCATATCTTGTCAGGTCTCTGGTTCTCCATGGTAGCTGCTCTGGCTATAGCTTCTGTAGGCCTGGTCTGATTGGCAGAACAATTTCTAGTCTTGAAGAATGCATTGAATTTTCTTGCTTCATTTTTGTTGGTGATCAGATTATCCTTCTACAGGTTCCATTCAATTTAATGAAGAGAATAGCCAATCTTTTTGTTGCTAAGCTACATGCCCCACCCACATGTTCCTGCCCATCCACATGGCAAAGTCAGTTAAGTGCTAGGGAATCCATTTTGAACAATAAACTCCTAACTTATATAATTACATTAAAAGATATTAATCTACCTTGTACTTTGAGAGGATCTTTTATTTCATGACTTTATAATATCATGAGTTAGTATTTGAGAAGTATCAGTTTAGGTTTTACTCCCTATTGTTTTCCTTGTCATCAGTGCAAATGTCAGCATGGTGAAAAAGGGAAAATAATGCCTTAGTAGTGAAATGTTGTCTTATATACTTGCATGTTGCTAGGAGGGGCTGGTTCTTGGAAAAGGATTCCATGGTTGGAAAGGTAGAGGGTCAGTGAAGGAGAGGAAGACCCTCAAGAATTTGGACTAACATAATGATGGACTGAGTATGCCAGAGATGGGTAAGATGTCATGATATAGGGCAGTGTTCAGTTATGCTGTTTATAGGGTTGCTATGGGTTGTAGTTGACTCACGTGCACCTATCAACAATTATTATAAGTGTAATTTTAATATTACAGATCCCAAAAAGGATTGTAAGATGCTTCAGGGGTCTGCAGACCACGTTTTGAGAACTATTGGTCTTTTGGGTGGAAATGTTGGAGTACAGCTCTGCTCCTTAATCTCAGTGTGGCTTTAGTATAGTTATTTGACTTTCTGAGCCTTAGTTTACTCAGTTATTGTCTGAAGAGCAAGGACCACAGGCGTGGCCATATCTGACTTTTACCAATTTCACAAAGGGGAACTGTCTGTGTCAATAGCATGAACAGCACAAAACCAATTCCTATGAGGTCA